TAAGAAGAATCTAACTAGCAATGAGGTATTACATTTGGGAAGCTGGTCTCCTCTACCTTGCAAGGGAAAGAACTTTGAGAATTTTAATAACTCATAAAACCTTTGATTGAGGGAAATACACCGAAGGTAAGAGGGAATCAGTAGGGCAGGACTTTGGAGTGGAATGGGGGTATTGCAGACTTGCAGCAGGCTTTTAGACATTAATCCTAAAATACTAGAAAAGGTCTATAGTTCCACTTCATTGGGAATTTCAAACTTATAGAGCATTGTGGTGCCTATGTCAACACAGGTTGACATAGAGGTTGAACTGAATGTCCAGAAGACCAAAACAAAAAACCACCCAACAACTCCTAAACCCACTGTTAGTTCTGTTATCAGTTAGAAAACTCAACTCAAGGGTCCTTCACATGACATTGGAATTGAGATAAATCTTGAATAACCCGACTTTCATCCCTAGATTGGTTGTGCCAATTGATAGTTATTGTCATTGAACTTATAACATTTACTTTTGTATCTTTTCTGCAGTTCTGTTATTCTTTATATACTCACCATTCCAGCTTTGTCTCCATATTCACTCAACCAGCTTGGTTCAAGCCAGTTAGGACTAGATCAGAATGGATGGTTCTAGGGGAGAGAACTTTCTAAAGCCAAAGGAATGTAAGGGATGAATAGAATGTAAAGAACAAGACAGCTGTCACAGTGTAACTATACTTGATATTTAGTTAAAAAGGAAGTCCAATTGCTGTTAGTTCAATTGCTGATAAGAAGGTGCTGATGATTGAAAAACTGCTAATAGATAATGAGCAGACATGGCAGGATGGAGAAGGAGATAGAGAGGACAACTAGGGTCCAAAGCAAATTGGTGGAAGCCTGTATAAATACTATGTACTTTGGCTTGTTCAGGGTCTCTCTGTTTTATAGGAGATATATTTTTCTAGTGCTAAGAAAATAAAATTTACTAAGAAAGTACAATTTACTATACTATACTCTCCAGGTCCAGCAGACCCATTGTCAGATCTAAGTTAGATGCATCCTGCCTAGGGCTAGGAGAAATCCTGTGATCCCTCAGGTTACGAAAGCAAGGGGCCTTGTCATGTGGCTGGTCTGGCTTTCTCCTTAACAATAGGTCTGTCCTCTGCAATGAGAAGGAGGCTGCAGCTGAGATAATGGAAAGTTAATTTGCTGAACTGTGGCACCATTATCACAAACTCATCCTAATTCCATCTACACAGTTCTTGGTGCCAGAACTGGAGAGGAGCGGAGGGGTAGGCAATTGCTGGCTGGCTCTCCCCGTCTCTCCCCATCCCGCCTTCCCCCGCCTCTATGCAGCAGGAAGGGTGTTCTGGATTTGTTGTCTGCCTTTCCTTTTTTAGATGTTAGTTGAGCTGTGAATTCCTTGTTTTTGGCAGTGTGTCAGGTCAGGAGCCTGGAGAAGCACATGGGAGTGCCTGCCGGCTGAATCTACATAGTAGTGCTGGGAGTTGGGGGGGGGGCAGGGGGGAGGCTGGCAGCAGCAAGAACACTGACAACATTAATGACAAGACATTAACCCTCCCCAGACATGTTAAGATATTGCAAACTACAGAATTCAAACAGAAATAGCTATTCTAACCACAGAAGACAGCATTTTCTCTGGTTTAATAGCCCGTAAAAACATAATTACCGTATGTATACTTTTTTCCCAAAAAATGTTTTTTAAAAGAACTTTTTATCAAGAGACTAATCCAGGAGAGGACTATGCAAGTGAAATATGCTTGATTCCAAGTGCCTGGAACTCTGTCCTGAAGCATCAAAACGTTTGATTGGGAGCTGCCCAGAGTCAGTTAGAAGATGGGTAGCTATATAAATGTTTTAGGTAAATAAATAAAACAAACAGACAGAACTGGCCTTCACTCAGAATTAGCCCATTGTATTTCTCATGTAAGCAGATGGTTATTTTTACTCATATGGGGACTTGTCAGATACTTCTTTTGAGAATATTGTTATAAGGCAGTTGAAAATTGAACCTAGAACACTAAGCAATCAAACTTGCAGAGAGGGGAAACTTAATGCATTTTGAGTACAAAGAAAACACTGGTGCACTGTGCCTCTCTGTCCAGTCTTTGCTGTATGGAAACATCACTGCCCTTCCAATGGTCCATTTCCATACAGATAGTAGCTTGGCAGTCCCTACTTTTTAAAATTATACATTTAATTAGATTTTGAAAGAAATGTAATTAAATATATAATTTAATCTTTATATCTGTTTAGAACCACAGATTTGGAAGAGGCCATTGAGGCCATCAAGTCTGTAGTAGGATGTGACATGATCTAAATATCTCCATTTTAAAATTTATCATCATTATCATTATCTTTCTGGTTGGCTCATTCTCTGGTCTCTTTGATCTGGATTCCAGGTTTGAGTAACCATAATTTTTGGTATTGAACAACTTAAGTGTAGATCTGGGAGAGCCATAGAATTCACTGTCTCTATGATAAAGGTGGCTTGTTCCAAGTGATTTCTAATCCAGCACATCCATGTGGTCACATGCTAGATCTCGGTTTATCTGAATATGGAGGGCATTACTTTTACCCATTTACTTTGATCAGATCACTTCCTAATCCAGCTAAGATTAATTGCTGCCCAGGATCTCACAGGATGGGACCTGTATAGCAATAGCAGTTAGCAATAGAACCTAGACTTATATACCACTTTACAGGATTCATTGGATGATTTACAATGCATTTGTATATTGACTTCCACAATCTGGGTCCTCATTTTGCTGACCTCAGAAGGATGGAAGGCTGAGCCAACCTTGAACCCCATCAGGATCAAACCCCAGACTGTGGGCAGTTTGTCTGCAATGCTGCATTCTAACCACTGCACCACCAGGGCTGCCAGAGTTTAAAGAGTGTATCTCAAGCATCCAATAGATCCAGAGAGTTTCCAGAGTACTCAGTGGCCTCTCTGTCCCACTTAAGAGTTGTTCTGCAAATCCTGGAAGATCTAGCATGTGACTTAGTATTCTCTAAAGCACAATAGCATGGTTCACGTTTTATGCTATGGTTTGCTTAAGCTTTGGTTTTTGAATAGGCTATAGTTTCCCGAATTCATATATAGTACCAAGCCTTATAATCATAGCCAGAATGGCTCAGATCACATGAAATGCTAAATCAACATTACATTATGGCCTCATGGGATGTGTAACTCAGAGGTCATGCTACCTGAACCTGATATCTCTGGGAAAGCTATCTCTTAGAGATAAAATTTGAAGATTAAAAATGTCCATTCTGTAGAGTTGCATATTTGTATAGTGCCATGACTATTCATGACTCTTTATAGCATGGAACTTAACAATGGGAATTTATAGTCAGTTCAGTTTATGGATCTAGTCACAAAAAGCTTCTCAGTAAATTTACCAATCAATTAACAGACATTCACAAACTTAAACAACTAATTGACAGAGAATTAAAGATAACACTGCATTAGACAGTTGCTTCCTTGCTTCTAGACAAAATTTAGTTATAGTAAGTGATAAGCTATTTGTAGCAAAACAACTCCCATTCAAATGAGCTGATAAAATGGATAGCTTTGTATTTTTATAAAACAAAAACAAAAACTTTCTCTGAGTACTTGGAGAGATAGCCCTTCAAATTATTCTCCAGACCTCTCTTCCAGGAAAACTAGTAGTATCATCCAAGATAGTGAGTACAAACAATCCTCAGTTTGAAATATTGCATGTTTTGGCTTATTAATGAACAAAAACTGAGCAATCTCAAATACTGAAGGTGAATGGCATTATGTGCATTGAGATGCATTTGTTCATATTATTACAAAATCTAATCTTATTAGATTTTTATGGAAAAGCACTGATGGCAAAAAAGCAACATTGTCCTTTTAATTTCTTTGCATTCAGTTTGTGCATTACATATTGACCAATATGAATTAATGACATGAAACTCAGAGCAAAAAAGCATAAATTTGAAGACTAAACTTTGGTTCTACAGAAAGCAGATTTGTTGTTAATCTTAGGAGTGGAGTAAACCAAATCATTGGAGTAAACCAAATCAATAGTTATGAAAATCTCAGAGTTTTCTGGGTTTGAAAATGTGAATATCATATAAAAGCTGAGCAAGTAACTTGGAAGTGAAGTAGAACATATAGGAAGTTAGTATAAGGATTTAAAGAATAGGTATCATGTAATCAGGGTTGTGTGAATGATTGTAGCAGCAGAATACTAGTTAACTGTGAAGGGATTAGGGCAAGATATTGAGAGACAGAAATGAAAAGATTGCATCATCGAAGAGACCTGCACCAGGTAAATCTTGAGTGCTGCATACCATAATTTAAGAAGGATTCAGACAACCTGAAAGAGATTTAAGAGAAGGACAATAAATATTCTCAAAAGACCAGAAATATGATTCTTTGACCAGAGATTGAGAGAAATGGGTAAGTTTAGCCTTGACAAAAAAAATATTCAAAATGGATATGAGAACATTTGCCAATTCTGAAGTGGATAATATAGAAAGACACAATCTATGTTATTCCTAGAAGACAGGATATATGATAGAATCATGGACAAGTTACAGGAAGCATGTCCAAGTGAAATTTTAAGAAATAATTCCCTGGTCAAAGTCCTTGCTGCCATTGGGGCTTAGAATTAGTGTACGTTTGGCCTGCCTAAGCAGACTGAATAAGTATGTTGCTTAGGCCTTTGTTGCCTCCTCAAGAAAGTGTTTGGTAAGCTACTTAGACTGCTGATGAGACTCAACCATTGTGAAATATTAAGGAAGAATCCATGGTTTAGAATGGGGAGAAAACAGTAGCATGGGAATTGAATTCAACCACGTGTGGAATAGTATGGTGATTTTGAGAGCTTATTGACCTATACATGTTATCTTTTATTTTTAGATGTGGATATACTGTACTACCAGATAGTCAGAAGGGGAAAGGCTGTATTCAGTTCTGGGCAGTGTACTCCGTTTGGGCTTGGCTCTTCCTACTTGCGCTTCTTTTGCAGGACTCACTGAAGCCAGCATTCACTGTCACCAACCTCCCAGGGACGACGTCCACCATCCAGACAGCACCCACAACATCCACATCCATGCAGGTCAGCAGTGGGCCCTCGTTCCCCATTACTAACTACTTAGCACCAGTCTCTGCCAGTGTCAGCCCCAGTACAGTCACCAGTGCCAACGGAACAGTGCTGAAAACCACTGGAAGCGGCGCAGTGGCCTCTGGAGGACTAATGCAGATACCTACCGGCTTTACCCTCATGTCAGGTCAGTTTCTTTTTTTGCCAGTTGAAGCGTTTTTGCGATAGCTGCTGATTCTTCTGCAATTACACTGAGCATGCTAGACCTTGCCCCTTCTTTGACTTGTGAGAGGCTGGAATGGAAATGCCAAAACTGCATTCTCTTAAATATGATTGTTTCATAAAGGAGTATGGCTGAGGCCAGAATAATAGCTAGTCTAGGGACAGGTTCTACCAGGAGAACAGGAAGTTTTAGGGAAACGGTGGTGTTGCTGTCTCTGCTGCCAGCCTCCTCGTTCCTTTGAGGAAATGGAAAGTCCCCCCTTTGACATTTCTGATTGTGAGAATTGTAGGGTTTGGAACTGGGACATGGAGCTTGGTCAGCGCCTTCCCTCCTCTTCCTCCCATGAAAGATGTATAGCAGCCTCCCTCAACTGGATATTCCGTCTTCTAGAATTCCACTCGGAATTCTCGAACTCATAGTCACAACCCAACTGAAGGCATAAGATTGGAAGAAGGCTGCATATGATAATAATTTAGGAGGAGAGATTAACAAGAATCCAAGAGGGAATGAAGGAGATTTTAAAAACATCTGGCCCTGATAAAAAGCCTTTTTTTCTCCCTCCTTCCAGCAGGTGCTCCACTCCCTCCTGGGACCCCTACCATTCCTCTCACTCAGTTACAGCCGCACTCGCTGGCCCTCTCCGGCCAGCAGGGCCAGGCGGCGGTCGTAGGCATACCTGGACAGCTGCAGCAGGCACAACAGACAGTCTTCCGATTTCCAGCTACAGCCGGAGGGCAGATTGTGTCTCTGACAGGTCAGCTGCACCCACATTGCTGCTTGCATATGGAAGGTTGGTGGGAATGCACGTTTTCAGGGCAGCTGGTTGACCTGTCTGGGGTTCAGTTGGCTTGTGTTTTTGGGAGGCCCTCCTAAGAGCAATGATAGAAAGTTGGGAAAAGTTAGTTGCTAGGTCCAAATGGAAGTGTGCTGAGGCAGGAGTGGAAGGTGCAAAAGCTGTTGCTTTGTCAGCTGAATGTGAGTGATCATTTATTTTAGGAAGAATAAAGACAGATATGACTAATAACTGACAATATATTCTCCAAAATAGAAGGCAAATTCTTTCAGCTGTTTGAAAGGTAGTCCTAAGAACTTGTCACCTAGGTGGGACTGATCCTTGTAAATCTGCAGTCTCGGAACCATGCCTGCCATCTTCATTTTTTAAAACATCTAACCATTTTCCTTCCTCTCTTGTTTGTCCGTTAATGCTTTTTAAAATGATTGTCTATTTTATCGTCCGGTTAACAGACATCCACCTGCTCTTTTTTTTTTCTATCAAATCATAGTACTTGTTCTTGAAAAATTCAAAAGCCTGTTTTATTTGGTTGTTTTTAGTCTTGGAAGTATTGCTTAAATTTGTATTTCCCCCCCCCTGCTGTTATGAGAAATAGTTCTTGATCTTTTGTTTTTCATAATTCAAATTGTGATGACAACAGAGGACACTCAACTTTCAAAGCATACTGGCACATCTTAAGCATTCAAACCCTTGACTGAAGAGAGTGCCTTGTGAAGGGGAGCCTAGATCGAAGAATTAAGACATCGTGTAGGAAACACTACTGAATGTGGAGACTCTTACTCCTGAAGATGCCAGGATAGAGAGATGAAGGAATATTTTAGGGCAGATACAGTATATTTATTTACTGCAACTATGACTGTCCTCTATGGGACAGCTGATACAAGGTTATTAACATGAGGCGTTTTCCTCTCTGAAGCCACGTAATAATGTTCTTCAACGACACGGGTGTCAAACTCGTCACGTGACGTGTCGTGATGTATCGTGACTTTTTTCACATTGCTGGAGCTGGGGTAGGTGCAGCCTCTGCATGATGCAACCGGCCCATGGGTCGCCAGTTTGACACCCCTGTTCTAGGATGTTAATCTGTTGTGACAGTAACTATATTTAGCAGCATAATTCCTTTAAAATTTAAAGTTGCTGCTCTTGTGGTGGTATAAATTCTGTGGTATACCTTTTTGCTTTGGGGAGTGATGTTTCTGGGCAGTGCAGGAAGACAAAGCAAAATTGATTGTGACAGAAGTCTCCATTTCTCCTGAGTTGTGACTGGTGAAGTCAAATAAGGTAAATGCTTACTGGGAGGGAACAGAAGGAGAGAGAGAGAGAGAGGGAGGGAGGGAGGGAGGGAGAGAGAGAGATGATGCAGTGGAAAGTAACTACTCTGCGGAAAACTGTGAAACTTAGGAAAGGAAGAGATTTGGGGGAGAGGTAGCAGGAAGGCCTTTGCAACCGTGTTTGCACAATCAGTAGCATGAACTTTTGATTAATGTTTCTAGCTGGTGCTTTTTAGCTCTGGTATAGGACTTGGTTTTCTTAAAACTTGAAATCATATGTTGGAAGTCTATCAGAACTTCACCTTTCATTCAAATACAAAGTGTTAGATGGTAGCAAATGTAGTAGCAAAGGAGATGGGGAAGACTTAAGGTGCTTACGGTTGTCCTCGACTTACGACCACAATTGAGTCCAAAATTTCTGTTGTTAAATGAGACATTTGTCAAGTGAGTTTTGCCCCATTTTACGATCTCTCTTGCCATAGTTGTTAAATGAATGACTGCAGTTGATAAGTTAGTAACATGGTTATTAAGTGAATCTGGCTTCCCCATTGACTTTGCTTGTCAGAAGGTTGCAAAAGATGACCACATGACCTTGGGACACAGCAACATCATAAGTATGAACCAATTGCCAAGCATCTGAATTTTGATCACATGATCATGGGGCTGCTACAAAGGTCATAAGTGTGAAAAATGATCATAAATCACTTCTTTCAGTGCTGTTGTAATTTTGAACAGTCATTAAATGAACTGTTGTAAGTCAAGGACTATCTGTAGTATGATAAACGGTATGCTGACATAGATATTTATTGTGATTCCCTGGTAAAGTTCTGAAACTCAAAAGAAACTTGTAACTCCTCTGGCAGTTTTTAGTGTGAAAGAGTGCCTAGGCCTTTCTTTTTCTGACCCTCCTTCCCAAATCCTGCCTACACTATCAGCCATGTTGGACCTAGGATCAGTTTTGAATTTCTGTGCATTATTCACATGTTTGTGCAAAATACATGTTGCCTTTTCCTACCCATAAACAATGGATAACCAATTCATGCTTATTTAGTTTATTGCATTTTTAACATAAGATTGCAGCTTACACAGTGTGGAAATGTTATCCCAAGATATTCCTTCCCTCCCAGCAGGTCTCCCTGCAGACAATTATGTCACAATTGACGTGTTCTGCATGTGATTTGGGCCCAAATAGTTTGATAATGTATGTCATGAAACAGTAGTAAAATGGGAAGGATGTTCATTTCCTTTTTGTAACATGCTCCTGGAATGGGAGTAGTCATAGAATATGGCCATTATCTGAGTGCCATTGTCATTAAATTGGCTAGTGAGCACAAATGAATTATTAGATTTGCTGCAAAACATATTTCTGAACTGCAAAGCATGTTTTTAGGATTGAAGTTAGTTACTTATGATGGTTTCTTTACCTGGCATTTGGATTAAATGACCCAAATTAATATGTTTGTCTCTTCTGTATATGTTAGCGTTTTAGGCCAGGGGTCCCCAACCCCCGGTCCGTGGACCAGTACCAGGCCGCGGCATGCCAGCAACCGGTCCGCACAAACAAGCAAAGCCCCATCCACGGGATGCAGGCAGCACACAAAACCACACACCCTCTGGTCTGTGG